AAGCTTTGCACTAAATGTTGTGTCAAATTAAAGGTGTCAATAAGTTAATTTAAGGTCTGTGCGCACAGAAATCACAAACCAGTCAGAGCGAATTTCATTGGTTGGAAACAGTCAAGAAATTAGTTTCAAACAATGAAATTCACTCCTTCTGGTTTGGGATTTCTGTGCGAAGAGACCTTAAATCAACTTATTGACACCTTTAATTTGACACATCATTCAGCGCAAAACTTGATAGGTGTCAAAGCTGAGACCGCGGGCCCTTGCCCCAATAAGCTGCCCTGCCACCCTTTTCCGGCAAGTTCTCACGAGGCAGGGTCGACTTTTTAGATAGGGGACATCGAGACCTTCAATCTGATACCCTACTTAAGGCATAACTCGATGGGGGTAGTGTTACGTTTTTTTCAATTTGTTAATAATTTGTTAAAAGATATTTCCGGCAGCATTTGCTCTCAGGCAGGAATACAGGTTAATAGATGCACATAATATATATATATTGATAATAGTGTCGACACATAACTCGATCGGGGTAGGAAAAATGCGGTCGTCTCCCTAACTAAATATAATAAACAATAAAAAATAAAACAATTTGGAAATACTTTTATTTCGGACGGAAAAATAGTTAATTCTCTGTATATTTTGATAGGTGCACAAATTACTTTTCCTTGTGGAAAAAAAATTTAAAAAAATTGTAATCAAAACTAAAACAACACAACGTAAATGGAATATTCCAAATTAAAAAAATACATTTTTCCGACTAGGTAAATGCAAATTGCATTCTTCTTGAGTCTCTCCCAAACCTATTAATAACTTTTTCATAAAAATCTTTATTAACCAATTCATTCATTAATGATCGATGAATTGACATCATAGCGAAGCCATCCAGTTTTTCATTTGACATGGTCGATTTTAACCAGGTCTTTAATCTTCGTAAGGTGCTGAATGATCGTTCAGCTGTGCAGGTCGTAGGCGAAATACTCATGGCCAGAGATAAAGCCAGAAAAATGGATGGATAAAATTCTTTGGTTTTCGACAGTACGTCAAGAGGTGAAGCTTTACCTAATTATTTTTTTTTTTTTTGTCTCTTTTATTTTTAAGTATTTATATTAAAAGCCAGGGGGGGGGGCAGATGCCCCCCCCTGCCCCCCCCTCCGGGCGCCCATGGACTAAACGTATGTCGCTTCTTGAACACACAAATAAAATTAGGTTAGGAATTTCCTATTTGTACGTGAAATTGACGTATTAGCAATCGACGTTCGTTTTTGTTAGTAATTTTTTGTTTCATCTGATTCGTGATTGATAAATAAGGATGGGGTTATTCTAAATGGGTATATTAAAAATACTATAGGTCAAATTTTATTGGCTAGCAAAGGATTATACTCCGCCCTAGGCAGGACCGTCTTAGGTTGTTTTGTATTTCTCTTCTCTGAATATATTTCCGAACGAATTTTTCAGCGGAATCTGTTGAACTTGATATTGTTTTAATCTAAATTGCTCACTAATTAACAATAATTCACCAAACACTATTTAAATAATTGTAAAATACTAGGAAATATGACATTAAACTTATTGATTCATATGACAACCTGACAATAATAAATGTCATTAGTTGAAATTGACGTTTTCAATTAAAAGAGATGGACGATAAAGTATGAAAACATTCATATTCCCGCCAACATTTGCTCGCTTGTCAATATCAATGTGTATTGGATGTTTAGCAATCCCCTGGTTTTTATTCTAATCGGGACTTCACCAATGAGTTAGGTATCTTTGTTTAGTGAATGGAAAATGACAATGACCGACATAGAATGGTGAAATTTGAAATTGGAAAGAGAATGTGGGAAGTAAACAGCTTCCGCAAACTAAACTTGAACGTGAATTACTTTATTTACTTGATAAGCCGTGGATTTCCCTTTCTTTTGCGAGTATCCTTTCTGATTTTGTGTATCCAAATTTTGACAAATGTAGGATTGGATAAAAACTTATGGAAAGACACGTCCGCCGGTGAATAGAAATTATTTTCATAAAAAGGCACACAGGCACACTACACACAATCACCATTGTTAGGAAAAAAACCTTGAAAAACCGAGGAAATAATAGCTTCCAGTCTCCACACGTATTAAAACTCTTGTCAACAAACCACTGTCAACGACTGTCAATCATTGTTTTCATGCTCTTTTGGCGTCTGACAGTTTGACGCCAGAGAGAGAGGCTTCTAAATTGAAAAGGTCAATTCATATTTTTACAGTCCTTCTCTGAATTTTTAAGCTCCGCCTGTTTGTTTACCTCTACTATCTCGGTTCGTGGAGTGAACTTTAAATTGCCATTTTTGAAGAATATACCTAATACTTTTGAATTTGAACTATGTCTCTAAAATAAATAGATTTTAAAATATTTGATAAAATTGTTTTTGCAAATTTTCAAAAATCGCCCTGTACCTATTTGCGAAACTAATAAAAATTTGGCAACAACGAAAATATTTTTTTAATATTGTTCAAAAATGGCGACTTTTTTCTAATTTAAACGCCCTCCTAACTTTAACCGTTCCCGACATAACAATACTGTCCCTATGAAATAGTTGGGACCCTGTATATTATCATTTTTGGATTCTACTGAGTGTGCTTTATCTAAATTCGAATGTTTTTAAGCTAGAAACAATTGAAAATTATAAGCTTTGTTCGGGTTCGAAAAAGAGGACGGTTCTAGAACGGTTAAACACAAACAAAGCTATAATCTAGAAATTTCATATAGCCTCACGACAATGATGTACCGGGTGTCCAAGATTCGATGGTTTTGGTAGGTTTTTGGAGGAGTTGGAAAAAATCTGACCCCCACTTGCGAGCCTCGATTTTCGAGAGAAGTTGACCGGTGAAACCCGCATCTCGATATTTTGATTCGTTTTTAAGCTACAAAAAGTTATAGACTCCCTGCCAAACTCCAAACTTTTCAAAAACCCCTCGTAACATAAAAACGACTCGACATATCGAGATGCGGTTTTCACCAGTCAATTTCTCTTGAAAATCGAGGCTCGCAAGTGAGGATCCAGATCTTTTCCAACTCCTTAGAAATACCCGAAACCCCCAACCAAAAACCATCGAATCTTGGACACCCTGTACAATCTGTAGACAAGGCTTGCATTTTTTATGGACCAATAAAATCATTGGATCAGAACCATTTCAACTCTTGAGACAGGATAAATCGAGGGTTGAATTAACCATTGTAAAACTCTACCAAAATGGAAGACGATATGTACATATTTAACAAGTTGAAACGGTTTTTGCTGGGGTTTTGTAACACCTATTTTATTCAGATTCAGGACCGGTTTATTTACGTTCTGATAAACTGCCAGGTAGGCAATCTGACGGAAAAAACGTAGTCTCTAATCCCATTGTTCGGCTGACCAATAGAATTACTTATAGAACGGTAAATTTATCATTTATCTAGCAGATAGTTACCAGCAAGTTTATCTGAAGATGAATAACTAGAGCTTTAGAAAAATAACTATCTATAGAATAATAATAAATATGTTCAAATTATAGGATGTGTTGTTTGTTTTTAACAATGTATAATGGTTTTTTTCTTTGGTCGGTTTATGTAAAACTATTTCATATAGCCCAGGTATTCATAATCATAATGGCATTACATAAAATTACATGGCATTATGATGTAATTACTGGCATTACATTGGAATTACCGAAATTACTCATGTAATGCGCAATACATGTACAAATTTTGGTCCAGTTGTTGTCCAGTGCGAAAAAAATACTTTACGTTCGTGTTAGGTACAACCGAGGGTACAACATTTTTCCTACAAGCGTGCGGAAATTGACACATTGTTTTTTTGTTTGTTTTTGGCTCTACTGATAAAAGGAATGGTCAAAAATGTGATTTTTCAATTAAGTTTAATAACACAATAATTTTAACAACAGAACATTAACAATTATTTCTATTTTGAGTAGAATTAACTATTTATGGTATACAACTTAATAAAAGAGGTCAATATTGGTCACTACAAAAACCTAATAGCTTTCTTAAAAAGGAAAAACGGTGGAGGAATTTCGAAAAAATCTAAAATTTTTGAAAAGCATGACATAAAGGAAAAAATGAAAATTAAAAAAAAAAAAAATCAGTGCGTGAAAAACTTTTTTCGTGCATGCCGTGCGGTAAAAATTTTTCCACGCACGCAGTGCGGAAAAGTGGTACTTTCCGCACGCAAATCAGTGCGTGAAAACGCCTTTGCCGCACGCTCGTAGGAAAATAAATTTATGAGCCTAATAAATGCCAAATTGAATCGGTTAAAAAATAAAAATTTTAGAAGAGTGGCCAGTCCTTAAGCGGGAAACACTGTAGTCCTGAAGTAGCTAGCTACCGTATGCTTTAGTAGTTCAGTAGTAGACAAAATTTCCCATTAGAATAAATAAAACACTTTTGCATGTAAATATAAAGTAAATTGTATTCAAGTGTAGGTATTGTATTGTATACATATATTGTAATCAAAATAAAATATATTATCAAACAATTTGAAAATTTACTGGGTGTTCCATTCAAAAAAATGCAATTTGTGTGCATAACTGTCAAAATAGTCTTTTGTGTTTTGTCCACCCCATCTAAAACTTGAAAACCAACCCTACAGTATGTTTTTTTTATTTAAGTATTTAAATAACTCCAAAAATGAAGAAATGACAGTTTGAAATTTCATCAAGATAAAATTTAATGACCACACTGTAGAATATTCTGGTACAATTTTTCTGTGGATGTTTGTGTTAATTTATGTGGAAATATTCATCAAAAACAAAAATCAATCCAAAAACCAAAGAGTAGAAAAAATTGTCTGCCAACCATGTTCCAGAGACAAAAATCAACTGCAAATCTAGCACCAGAATCTTAACTTTCACATCAAATACAAACAGTCTTTATTCAACTTTATTTTTGGGTTTGAGCACAAAAACCACATACACAACAAACAAATTCATCACCAATTATTATCCTCTTTTTCTTTTTAGAATTTTTACTTGATAGATGTGAATTTAGTTATCCTAATTGGGCTCATATTTGCACGAAGACTCTACTTTCAAGTGGGTTGCAAAATGATATCGAAAATGTACTCGAACAAAACCTCAGCGGATCTCAGCTATCTGTCCAGATCGATTTTATCGCTATTTTACGCTATAGTCATTGGAATCCTGGCTACAATTGTCTTGGGAACCAGAAGCAAAATGGACATAATTTACTTATTTTATCCGTAAGTATTTAATGTGCAAAAAAAAAAACCTTATCTACAGCTAAAATTCCAGCATTCTTTTATATGTACCAATCTTTGGAAGTAAAGTTAGACCATTCTTTGAAGTGTCATCTTGGTGTTCAAACGGAATCCAGCCTATACATGCTTGCAGCTCAAATCCCAGTGACATAAGAAGGGAATGTGAACTCTTAAAAGTAAACCTACTTGATAGGTTGAGGCAAATATTTTTCACTGCAGCAATTAATGCTTATTATGGTTGTTTTATACCTTGTTGCTTTGCCCAACCCGAATTGGTTTACGATAAATGGTGGAACATTGAACAGGGGACATTTATTTTTACTGGGAGCCTTATTTTTTCATTTACGCACATGATACCTTTGAGATATTGCGATATTTTACACAAAGCGGTGTTACATTCTGGTATGTGGGAAAGATTCAATACAGAAAGGAATAATGTAGCTATAGGTAGCAATAGAAATTTTGCTTTAAATTTGTTTGTATAGAAAGTAATATTTTAGTTATTCATGACTGGAGGGATGATGTACTTTGGCCTGGTGGTGCATTAGTAAAATACAATAAGGCAATTTGGAGAGCTATAGGAGATTGTAATTCTATTGCACCAGGAGACAGGGCACTTACATGGGGCTATGTAAGCATATAAAGTACACCAAACTATAATATACAACTTAATTTATTTTCAGTTTTTATTTATTCTGCCTTCTTATCCTTTGGCTTTAGTCTGTTTGTTTCAAGCAGTGGTAATTTTTTATCAACTATACATTTGCATGTACTCTACTTATTGGTACAGGATAATTTCACTTACTCTTATGGTGTTTTTTAACTACAGCTCGCTTTATAAACTTTTGAGAGATTGTTTGGTTAGCTACAAAATTTACAAGCAAACTGAAGAAAGCGTAAGTATGGGCTTGGAGTTATTTCAAACATATTTTTGTACATTTCTTTAAGGACGATGATAAGTACACTTCTTCAGATTACCTAAATGATGTTACTTCAAATTATAAGTCTAATATTAGAACTGAAGAATTCCCGTTTGAGTCAACTGTGTCAGATGATGAAGCTGGAGATAGATGACCGTGGTTCCAAAAATCCAGTGACAATTATTTTTTGTTTATTATGGTGCCAGCATCTATATTCATTATTGCTTTAGTGTTTTACATATTTGATTTTTTTTCTATAGATTTTCTTGTATATATTGCTGATAGTTTAATTATTCGATAATAATTTTGTGATGTTTTACTTTGTAGGAACGTGTGAGGACTAAGGACTAGATTGGACAATTAATTGTACAAAATTTTTTTTGAGTTTTATTGTAGTTACAAAGTATATGGATATATAAAACATTTTTTGGCATACATTACAGATAGTTATTTAGACAAAACTTTAATAAAACAATGGCACAATTATATCACATTTTGTAAAAATCACTTATTTGAGCCTAAAATATAAAGAATATAATAAAATACTTACATTATTCTATTGGGGGGTTAATCTTGGAATATTAAGAGGACTTTGATTTTCTAGTTCTGTATATTTTTGCATCATATCTTGCAAAGATTCTTTACTTTCCTCAAAGAAATCAATATCGAAATTATTAATTTTTGTATAGTGATGTATGTGAGCCTAAAAAAACAACAAACAAAACTTTTTAACAGCTACAATAAAAATTCTTACCCGTTTCCTATACAAACTATTATATTGCTTATAAAGATGTTCAAACAAACTATACATCGCTGTAGTGTTGAATAAAGAAAATAAGGCAACAGTTTGCCCATTAGGTGGTACATTGCAAAGACCTACTTTAATAGATTTTTTAGACCAAGCAGTAAATTTGGCTTTACTTTGCAATTTATCTATATAAGTCTGTAAATCTGTTATTGTATAATCACCTCTACCTATCAGGGTAGATGATAATAGAAGTGATTTTGGACTTAATGGGTCTATTTGAATTAGTTGATTTTGTCTGTTGCATGAGGCTAGGAACATTTCTTCTTTAAGTTGCTTGCTAAGAATTGAAATTATTTATAAAAAAAAATAAATCTTCAAACTCTTGAGCTTACCTTTTATTTTTAGCAATAAGGCTAGATTTTACTAAATGATTGAAACCAGTGGAAATAAAATTCATTTTGGGATATGGCACCATATTAGTATTGATATCGTTCATGTCAAAATTTAAAGTTCCAGAAAATCTTGAGCCACTAGTTAAGTGTAGCAACATATCAACAATACTGCTGTTCATATCGTCAGTGGCGTTGAACATATTAATTTCATTAATGCCATTTTTATGTTTTCTTGCCACTATTTCCAGAAGACATCGGTTTTCCACTGGAAATACACAAGTAGCATTTTCCAATATCTGATGTGTCGCTAAAGCATTGTTATAAGGACTTGTTATTACATCTTCAGTGCCAGTTGCGTAGACACAAGAAACAAACCTAAATAAGCGTAATGTTTTTTTTTTTTAATTATTAGCTAGTATTAATGAATATGTAGGTACCTTTCAATTTTAGGATAAAATTCTGATAAAATATTTAAAACAAAAGTTCCTAGGCCAGATCCTGTACCTCCTCCAGTTGAAAATAACATTAAAAATCCGTGCAAGCTATCGCACCTTTCTATCGAGTGTCTTAGGGATTTTAAGATTTTTTCTTGGTATTGTGGTCCGTGTTCACAAAAACCTAAAATTGTTGGATAATGTAGAGTTTTTGAAACAAGGCTTTAAGCAATTTGGGGTAGTTTATCAATTTTTTTGAGTGCCTTTTTTCATAGATTCTGGTTACAAATCTCATAATAATTTAGTGTACCGGGTTTGGGCGATTTCAAAGGACCATTATTACAAAAAATCTCAACAAATTTTTTTTTTTGGAATTTCATCGTTTTAGTACTGAGGTAGCTTATGATTTAGATTTTAGAAAACTTTGAAAAGTCATAACTTTTTTTCCATTAAAGATAAAAAGCTGAAATTTCCAGCGATTCTTCTTCCAGTAGACGACTACAATCCCTGAAAATTTCGGCAAATTTGGACTCAGTTCCTGAGATAAAATTGTATTAAGCAATTTGGGGTGATTTATCAATTTTTCAATTTTTCTCAGTGCCTTTTTTCTTAGATTTTGGCTTCAAATCTGAGAATAATTTAGTGTATGGAGTTTGGGGGATGTTAATTGACCATTAGAATACATAATCTCAACAAAAAAAAATGAAATTTCATCGTTTTAGTAAGAAAGTAGCTGCTTTATGATTTAGATTTGTGAAAACTTTGGAAGGAAATAGCTTTTTTTCTACTGATAGAAAGCTGAAATTTTCACTGAATCTTATCTCAATAAAGGGACTACAATCCCTGAAAATTTCAGCTCATTTGCACTTATAGTTCCTGAGATAAAATCGTGTTAAGCAATTTGGGGTCATTTTTCAATTTTTCTGAGTGCCTTTTTTCATAAATTTCGGCTTTAAATCTGAGAATAATTTAGTGTATGGAGTTTGGGGGATGTTAACTGACCATTAGGATACAAAATCTCAACAAAAAAAAAATTGAAAATTCATTGTTTTAGTAAGAAGGTAGCCTTATGATGATTTAGATTTTGGAAAATTTTGGAAGGGCATAACTTTTTTTATATTATAGATAGAAACCTGAAATTTTCACTGAATCTTATTTCAATAAAGGGACTACAATCCCTGAAAAGTTCAGCTCATTTGCACTTATAGATCCTGAGATAACATCGTGTTAAGCAATTTGGGGTGATTTCTCAATTTTTCATAAATTTCGACTTCAAATCTGAGAATAATTTAGTGCATGAAGTTTGGGGGATGTTAATTGACCATTAGGATACAAAATCTCAACAAAAAAAAATTTGAAATTTCATCGTTTTAGTAAGAAGGTATGATTTAGATTTTGGAAAACTTTGGAAGGTCATAACTTTTTTTTATTAAAGATAGAAAGCTGAAATTTTCAGCGATTCTTATTCCAGTAGAGGACTACAATCCCTGATAATTTCAGCTCATTTTGACTTATAGTTCCAGTAATAAAATCATGTTAATTAGCAAAAAATGCACCTGTTATGATGGATTTTAATTTATGCTAATTCAGAAAATCAAAGTTTAATTTCAGAGAAGTGAGCATGTATTTCTGAATAGGAACTTGTAATTCAGCAGAAAAGCAAAATTGTAATTCAGAATGTCCATTATAATTTGGGAACAGGAAATTGTATTCCAGAAGGAGTAAATTCAATTTCAGATTAGGGAATATGTAATAAAGACAGGGTATTTGCACATTTCTGGATTATAGTTTTTTTTTGAAATTCTGTGAAGTAAAAAGAGAAAGAGGAGGATGAGGTCATCACACTGAAATTTTAAATTAATTTGGTGAGAAATGGGAACATGAGAAAATCTCGAGGAAAATGTTGAAGTCAACTTGAAAAAACCAAATTAAGAAAAATGCAACCTTTCATATTTTGATAGATTTTTGAGAAACTGTTGATGGAAAACTTCTGAAACTTTTGACGTAGAAAAAGGAAAGAAAGGAGCTCAAGACACTGAAATTTCGAATCAATTCGATGAGACATGGCAACATGAGAAAATCTAAAAATGTTCCTTTTCTGAATTTTATATTCTGATTAATAACTTTCTATTCTGAATTACTTACAATTTTCCTTTCTCAAATACATTTTTCAGCTTTCTGAATTAAATTACAATACAACTGAAAAAGGCACACAATTACCTTCTGCCCAATTGTTCCCAGATCCAGGATAATTAGTAACCATGCATCTTTCTTCAAATAACCCCTTCAAAACCCCATTTCTGAATCTTGCAACCACCCCATCTTCCATATCGATACAAACTGCTCTCGCTTTGACTTTATTATTAACCAGTTCTTGTAACGAATTGTAGGAATTATCAGTTTTTGTCGGTGGTACATTGAAAAATGATGAAAAAGACTCTTGGTTCGATAGAGGTTTGTTATGGGGTTTCGGTTTTAGAGACACATCATATTCTTGAAGGATTTTAGGCCATAGGGCACTGCCTATTTGATTGCCACATTGACCAACTAAAGATAAATGTTAATTTGTATAGTTTTGGGTATTTATAGTATAGTGCTTACCTTGAATAACAATAAACTCACTCATTTTAACTTTAACTGGCAAAAAACCGTTTATATAATGAGTGAATATTATTCATTTTCATTGGTTAATTAATTATTTATTTATAGTTTGCATGATGAATATTTTAATTATTATTATTAACGTTTTTTTTTTAAAAATATAAACAAAAGAATCTTAACCTCACAAAAAAAATTGTTTTGTCAACCGTCAACCTTTAGCAGCGACGTTGTCAAATCTAACTTCTTAGTTTTATAGTTTCATTAGTTTTCTCACTCTTTTTAATTTATGGATTAGAAAGAGACATATATAATCGTGTAATTTTTAATTTAGCATTTTTTTCATTTTATTTAATTTAATGACAGTTGTTTGTTTTGTTGACTGGTAGTTTGTTTATAATAATTAATTTGTTTATTTACTATTTAATAATAATAATTAATTCACAATGAAACTGCTCAGCATTGTAATTCTCGTTCTAATTAATTTCACTAATTTCATTCAGGGTGGAACAGTTTTACAATCTAAAGGTAAGTTTGCTCGATTTTAACCTCACTTTAATTGAATTTGTTTATAATTTATTAATTATTATTGTTATTTTTGCATCGTTTTGGGGTTCTCAAATGCTCTATAGACTCTATTTAAAAAGGAGACAGCACAGAGCTTTTTTGAACCACGTGCGTCCATAAATCTCAAATATTAGTTTTACCCTCTTAGACCACCCTCAAAGTTATTTGCAAGCTTTGCAAGTTTTTTTAAGTACCCTAAACGGTGTATATTGGTACTGCCTATAACTTCCAGTAGCATTTGTACCCGAGACTAGTGTGGAAATGTCCACAAAAACCCTTTTTTCTATGAATCGCAATTATTAGTTTCAACCTCTTAAACCACTTACATACTCTAAATGGTGTATATTGGTACTATCTATAACTTCCTTGATAACTTCCCAGGGTTAGAAAAAACCTACGATTTAGGAAAAGAAATATTAGGTTTTTAGGTTTTTTGAAGCTTTTGGGGTGTTTCAGGTTTTTTAAGGTTTGCTAAGGTTTTTTAAGGTTTTTAAGTTAACAATATTAGCTAAATAGTGTGATGGTTATTTTTTATTCTATTTTTTTTTAAAAAAAAACCTAAAAAACCTAAAATGCCCATATTTTAGGAAATAGGTTTTTTGGAAAAACCTAAAAAACCTAGGTTTGAAAAAACCTATACCTGCCAACCCTGTAACTTCCAGTACCATTTGTATTTACCCAAGACTAGGATGGAAATATCCATCTCCTCCCCCCATCTTTAGCCAGTTTGAATAAGAAACATGGAAAAATAGCTTTCCATATAATGTAATGTGAGAAAAAAGGTACTCTACACACAGGTTCCATAAAAAAAAAAGTCCAAACCAGTCGGAGCGAATTTCATTGGTTGAAAACAGTCAGAAAACTAGTTTCAACCAATGAAATTCACTCTGACTGGTTTGTGATTTCTGCAGAAACAGTCCTAATATAAAGCCATACATTTAAAAAAATATACTTACTCGAAAATAATCACTAGTGTCTAGTAAGTCACTTCCCAACTTAAAGTGTAAAGTAAATATCATATTTGCGACTTCCCTCTTTTTTTGTAGTTCACTACTTAGAACAAAATGAAATTTACAAATACACCCCAGGTCCGTACAACCAAAGGGAACTACACATTTTTTGCTATCAAGGCAGACCCAAATATATCATCCACATATGGCAAAGTGTGATTGTAAGTTGAATAAATAAACAAATAAAATATCTAATAATTATTTTGTAGCTCAAAATTATACATCCAACAGATGATTATACTCAATTCGATGGTTTGACTCCTGAAGATGTACAAAAAGAATACAATGATAATAGTTACAGTTGGTCCGCTGTGGGTTTATTTGCTACTAAATCGAAAAACCTAAAATTAAACCCTTTTAATACTAGCTGTATTGGTATAGCTAGTAGGGATAAATATTCCATACACCTTCAAGTAATCAGTATAGATCTATGGAAAATTTTAAATCTTGTTATAGGCCTGCTGTTATTTCTTAGTGCTAAAACTTTAAGCCACAATACTTTATTCCACTATTTGTGTGGAATAAGTTTTGGAATATGCGCTTCTTTTCTAATTTTGATTTATTTTGTGAGCAAAATATTTCCCAGGAAAACTTTGATGTACGGAGTCATTGGAGCAGGATGGACTATTGTTATTTATTTCCTGCAAATGCTTTGGGACAATATGAAATTAATTATGTCCACTTATCAAGCTTATGTTATTTGGTATATTGTTGCTACTGGCACTATAAGTTTTATTTGTGAGTATATTTACTTAATTATTATTGGATTGAAGCTGAGGTTAATTTTTGTTATAGTATGCTACAGATGGGGTCCAGTTGAAAATCCTCGCACTATAAATTTAATAAAATGGGCCTTACAGCTTATGGGTTTGATAAGTGTATTTTTCAGCAGTCACTTTCAAGAAGCCGCAATGGGGCAAATAATTTTGTTGCTATTAATAACATTTTTGCCTAGAAGGTGGATAACGGCACCTCAAAGGTACTGGTAAGTGTCTTTTTGTTGTTTCAATTAGATAATATATCAGACAACTTCTTGCAGGAAAAAACGATTTCCTCCTAAACTCAAGCCATTATCAAATGATGAGTATTATCAGCAAGGGGTAAGAGAAACTACCAAAGCCTTGGAAGAATTGAGGCAGTTTTGTTCAAGCCCTAAATGCAATCAATGGAATACTGCTTTGAAATTAAAAGATGTGAAAAGGTACCCACTGAACACCAACAATTTGAGTAAATAATTGTTTTTTTTTTTAATTTCTAGGTTTGCATCTTTCATAGAAGGCAATTCACATTTGTCTGATGATGAAATCTTAGAATACGAAACGTCTTTAGTTAGAGACAATTTAATAGATGATAGTAGTGATGAGGAAGCTAGTAGAATATCAATATCAGAAGATGAAAGTAGCTAGACAATGGATTTTTAATCAATTAACTATGTGATACTAAATCATTTTTCTCTTAATGATCAAAAGTAATTGGATAGCTTTATAAAGTAAGAGTCCCACTGTATCTATGACCAACTCAACTTTTTACCAATAAATTTGACTTTTGTAAAGCTATCTAAAGCTGAGTAAATGGTATCCATTAATTTCATTTTCAGTTTCACTCTACAATAACTGTTCATATTATTATTAATAATTAGAGAATAATTATATACCGTGATTTGCATTAGAAGTTTTCCAAATTGCAGGTGAATTAGTAGAAATACCATCTGATCCACCTGCAATCTAATGTTCAAATTACGTAAATCACCCTGTATATATAACATTTTTCGAATAATGCTCAATGGTTTTATTTTTCGTTTAAACAAAATAAATAATATGTTTTTTTTGTACAATTTATATTATTTTAATTTAATCCAAAATCAGTTCCCACAAAAAAAATCGATTATAAGGAAATATCAGACACATTTTCTGTATCCGGATCGCTTTGACATCTTGAATCACCTCCTGGAGCGCAATCAGCTTTAGTGGCTTCAGAAGTTGTCCTAAACATAATCACAATGGGTTATTTTCAATTAAAAATTACATTCATATACTCATTCTCTTCTTTCCAATTTGTCTGAGTCGTTTTACAAATACTCTTGGAAGCTTTCTTATAGTAATTGGCCACAATTCGATTCAATGAAGCAACGATTTTTACAGCGCGTCTCAATTCCAGTTCGTATTTTTTGTTTTGACTTTGCAAATTTATGTTGGTCGTTTGGATTTGCTCAATTTGGTTTTTCAAAGCTTTTAAATGTTCTGTTGATATTGTTGCGATGTCTTTTTTTTTATTATCATTTTCTGATTTGAGATTTTTGGTCTAAAATGAATTGTTATTGGTATAAAATAGATTTTTATTGAATTAAGTTAAGTATACCTCATCATCAATTTTTTTGTGCTCTGTTATACTCTTCTCCGATAATTGATTTTCATTATTTTTAATACCATCTTGCAATTTGATCAATTCTTTTTCAAAATTTTCCTTTTTCTTATCCAAATATTGTATCAATTGGTCATTTTTCACTGCCAAATCGTACTTTTCGGCATCATCTTGTTCGCTGTTTGTTTGAGAAGGAAGACTGGGACTTGATGATGCTTTGAGATCTTGGGAGGGAAAAGTGGAACTTGAAGATTTCCTTTCAAGAATTTGTGTTGACATATTGGTAATTTTGATGAAATTAATGTGACACTATAATTGACTGATACCTATTTGAAACAATGGAAAATATTATGACTGTTGTAATCATATTCAGATTTTTGAAGATGAGATTTCTTCATTTACTCCATAACCTGTGGGAATTTTTGTATTATTATTACCGGCTCTTGATTTAAGACAAAAAACTAGCACATTAATATATCGTTGTGTTTTTCTCGCAAACTATTAAACCTACACTGAAACTATAAATTAGTGATTTGTAGAGCATTTGATTGGCTTTTATGTGAGCTTAATTTCATCAAAATCGGTTGAAAATTGACAAAGATATGAGGCAAAGTATGAAGCACTTTGAAAACAAATCAAAATCTTATGTAACAGGGACCTGTATAACCGGCCTACTTGATTAATGGCGTTTGCATTATGTTCAACTCTTTCTCTGAGCCTGGTATTATAGAGAAGCCTATTCTAACATAAAATTACTATAAACTATACACACAAAAAAGCCTCTGTTTTATAATAGATTAGTTTTCTCGTTATTCACCCCTTAAAGTGTGGCCCCCGCTCAGAAATTCAGTATTACGGGCAAATTAAACACCGAATTCGAACCGCGACACTTTTCCGAACACTTTAGAGTAGTTTTTCTTACTGAAAAGTGGAAAATTTGACGAAAAAACCGCGTTGGCCATTTTTCACTTATAATGGCCGACTGTCAAGTGTCAAAATTGCCATTCCAAAGCCTACTTGATTAAAACCTATTGTTAAAGGCTTATAATAATATTAATTTCGATGCAATTTAACTTAATTAGGCCTTAATTATTAAGTCCTAATTAGTTATTTTACTCGATTTTAAATGTTTTTTGGGGCTCGCGATTGCAGCGTCATCTCGTGACAAATTAGTGTAGTTCCATTATTGTTTCAAAATGGCTTACGCGCTTTTAGTTTTATTGCCGGTTTTTCGTTGAATTTTCCAATTTTCCATAAAATTTTATTAAACATTATTAATTTATTGTTTAATTGAATTTTAAACAAAAAACCATTTGAAATGTAATTTTTTCCTATTTGAAATGTGGCAACGTCGCTTTTAATTAAGTAGGCCTTGTAATGAAATGTCATTTGCCAATTTTCTTTTGACAGTCGGCCACTTTTAATTGACGTGTTTACATTGTATGTGTCCAATTTTTTTTTGAATTTCCCGCTTTTTCAGGCCGATTTCAGTCGGGAAAACTGATTTAAAATACGAGGCTTCATTTTCCGTCAAAAATTTACAGTTTTCCAAGGGGGTAAGTAACGAAAACTTAAGTTTTATCAAGTAGCCTTTGGAGTGTTATTTTTGCTGGTTTTTATTTGGATTTTCCTGTTCCAGGCCGTTTCCGAGCGGGAAAACTGAAGTAAAGTACGAGACTTTGAGTTTTTTTCATTTTTTTGCCAAAAGTTTCCAGCAAAAATCTTTAAAAAACAATTTTTTCAGGCCTTTTTTAGGGAATTTCTAGGTTTAAAGTTATTAGTAATCAGAGCTGTTGTACTAAGTATTTTAAATACCTGAAGTAAATACTTAAGTACAAAAATATACTTAGTATTTGACTTAAGTACTAATCTCAACATTGGCACTTGTACTTTCAATTCCAAATTTTTCAAATTTTACTTGTACTTAATACTTAAAATATCAGTTGAAAATTTGTATTTAAGTGATATTGAATTACTTAAGTACCAGTGAAATTACTTGAAGTAAATATTTTTAATTGAAGTATTTTTAAAAACTTCAAAATTTACTTGACAACTAAATAAAGTTTTGTCTAATTATCGCGTGACGTCATAAACACACGCGAAAATTGCAAAACCTATTTAAACTGATGCAGCAATAGGTGTGAGAACGCAAAAATAATACGATAGTCGATAATAGTTCTGTTCCAATTTTCAGTCGATCAATTCATTTCTCAAGTAGGATAAACGTTCAACTTATTGAAAAATAGGTGGGCAACTGGAAATTACTAGTTCTGAAACGGTTTTCATGTCGGTTGGAACGGAGCTAATAATATGCAGCAAAAATCAAAAAACGCGCGCCAGCGTCGGCTGTCGGACTCAGTTTGTGCATATGACGTCACAGTGCTAGGAATGGGAACTTTATACCACGGTATCTTCGCAACGGTTGATCGTAGCCTAGTGCGGTTTGAAAATTTGTTCTTGGATTTTTATTTTCTAAAACTTTCATTTGTGGGTCACACCCCCTTTAAGTATCGATAGTAATAATTTAATTTATTATTTAATTCGAACAATACTTGAAATAAAAAATACTTAAAATATTTTTTGAAGTATTTCTACGTAAATGTAATTTCAAGAACGCAAGTCTAAGTAAATACTTAAACTTGACCCTGACTTTCGTGGAATTTGGTAGATACCTGTACTTGAATTTGGATAATTCAAGTCAATTTACTTGATATTTTAAGTATTTCCTTCTGTACTTATACTTGTACTGGTATTTGATTCGTATTAAAAAAGAAACTTGTACTTAGTACTTGAGTACTTTTTCTTGGTACTTACAACAGTTCTGTTAGTAATTAAGTTTTTTTAATAAATTACGATTTTTTTTTAGGTGGCAATACTGCTTTGTAGCCAACTTCACTCGGGTTCCAATCAAGTAGGTCTAGAATGTCATTTGAAGCCTGTGACAGTAACATTTGACAATCGGCCATTTTGAGTATTTTTATCTCGGTTTTTCGTTGAATTTTCCAATTTTCCGCGAAAAAGGTATTCTAAAGTGTTCGGAAAAGTGTTGCGGTTCAAATTCTGTGTTTATTTTGTTCAGAAAATTGAATTTCCGCGTGGGGGCCACAGTTTTTTAAGGGTGAGTACAAGAAATTCGATTATTATGAAACTAGGCCTTTTGTGTGTTTATAAGCTTTGTTCCAACAGACATGAAAAGCGTTTCAGAACCAGTAGTTTCTAGTTGCCCACCTATTTTTCAATAAGTTGAACGTTCATCCTAGGGCCGGTTTTTCAATAGCGAGTAACCCCTGTCACCCCCCGGGTTGGTTTTAACTCCAAAATTAACGTGTCAATTTGCAATGTTTACTCTGGCCTGGAGTTAGCTTAACCCCTGCTATTGAGAAACCGGTCCCTAATCATTGAGGTATCCTAATGGACAAATAAATAATCGTCTGGAAATTACCGCTCTAGAACGGTTCTCATGTTTGTTGGAACAGAGCTATAGTATTTTATGTGTTAAAAATAAGCGAGCAGGTAAAAAAATATGTATTTCTATCTTTTTATTAGCCAGGCTCAGAGAAAGAGATAGGCTCATGTTAATTCCCAGCGCTATTTTTTTGAAAGGTGAGTAAAGCTTAATTATTATAAACAAATTGTTGATTTCGAAACAAAATTATGTTAATTTTAATGCATTTTTAACGTGTTAGGGCCCTAATTAACGACGCGTCGTAAAGTGTAGTGCAGTGTAGGTGGGAATCTATTCATTTGAACCAATGAAATATTTATCTAGCGACAATTTCACCACAGTTTGCGCAAGTGAGAATGTGAGAATTGACCTTTATTCTACGATAACCTTTTTTTTTCAAGTTATGATCAGTTATGACGTATTCGATGTCAAAAGTATGAACTCTCGTGAAACGATTTGGTACTTTATTCTCGAAACCAAGGAACAGCGTTCTCATGAAAACGATTGCTCTGTCATTGTCAGTTTTATAGAAATTTGAATACGGATGACAAAGACAGAACCTTCGTTCTCATGAGAACGCAGCTCTCCTGTTTCGAGAATAAAATCCCTGTACGTATGTCTTGGACCTAAATTTTTCTCCCGCTATTTCTAAGAAATATAATTATTTGTTCACCTTTCTTCCTTTCAAAATAATGTTCATATGAAATACTTTCTATTAATTTAACTATCTTGAAAATTGATTGAAGTATGTGAATGAAATATTTTGAAAACCTGGACAAAAAATCGATAGAAAAATTTTAAAAAAATGAATGACGGATACATTTTTAAAAAGAAAAATGTTGCTTACCTATATGAGTTTGTATGCTTACCTATGGGTTAGTAGAGGCGTATTGCGATTTTGCCAGGTCGCGCCGTCGTCAAAGTTCGCGAAATCAGCGATTCCATCGGCTCAGTCTTTTCGCGACGTCGATCCGGTCAGCGTCGCGACGCTGTTCACTGACGTCACTCCGAACGCTGGATGCACAACAATAATAAATTAAAATCAAAATAATCGGGATTGTTTCTTGAGAATTTCATAAATGTTGTGATTTGTGTGGTTTCGATCAGAGACGGACTTTGTTGCTTATAGCTATTTTGGATTCTTTTTTTTTTTAATTCAATAATTATTGCTTGTTGGTAAGTGTAAATTGGTTTTTGCGAATTACTTACATGTTGTTTTCCTTATAAAATTAATGGTAAAATGTATTTTGTTTAGCAATTCTAATAAATTGTTGGTGATGTTTAATTAATTATTGGTTCGTTAGATACATAGGTAATGTTGGTTTATATATTTTTTTTAAATTATCTAGGCCATCTAATGTTTAGATTCAAATTTAAATCTAAAGTTAATATTTAATCGTGGATATAATCAATTTTCGGTTTAAATGAATATAAACACACACAAACCTGAAACTTCTATAATCTAAACAAAATAACAAACAGAAGTTGAATTTTAGTCAAAAATTTCTGATTATATACTGTAAAATTATTTTGATGATTTGCTTTTTCAAAGATTCAAATTTATATAAAATAAATTTCCCATTAGTTCGCTCCTAAAAATACCCTCAAATATATCGAAGACGTGATTTGTGATGAAAGAACGTGTATAGAATCAGTTTGGAAATCGTCCAAAAGTTCAAGTTTTGGGGCATAAAAATTGCCAAAGGCGCCATATACACACTTACAAATATTCGTAATAAGTTGACAGTTTAAATTTATATAGTCACTAGAAACTCTTCTCATTATTTCCAAAAACTTTTATCCATTAATAAAAGGGCCGCTTCATTCTTGCAAATAAAAACAACCCCTATAATACCTCTGTTGTCCCGCGCTTTCGTGAAAACTAATCTTCTTTATAAGAACTTTTGAGGGTTTTTCTCAGACAAAAATATAAATTACTTCGCACCCTTTGATCATCCTACAGACGACAAAGAGTTTTGTTATGTTTTCTTTATCATTTTTTATTAATTTTTTTTATCTTTTATTAATTGATTCATATAGGTATATTATCGATTCACCTAATCAGATAAATACCTTTTAATTCTGTTCTTCCCAGTTTTTGTTATAGAAGAATTATTGTCATTGTGATTTTTATCCATTGAAAATCAAGATATTTAAAAATCCCTCCAACGACAAACAGTTTTATAAATCTTTTGCACTTTTCAGATGTTCAAAGTAACTTTTATTTTGAGAACAAAATATATTATTGCAAACTATAACGAGGTTAAAGGTTTTATTAAATTATGCAACACCACTGTAGAATTATAAAATGTTTCTGGTATCATTTAAAATTGTTTTCGTTACGCCTCATAAATGCTGGAATTTTCCTTTTTAATAATATTCCAAAGGGCG